AAGAAAGGGACACAAGAGCCCCCCAGGGTCCCGGTGCCATGCGCTGCTTCCCAATCTGAGGGCCATGTACACAACCGCGTTCCTCTTGTGAACGAGCGAGCCATAACCTCATGGTTCTGCATTTTCTCAATACCGTACATCGACAAACAATGGATTTAACAAAATAATGAGGTAGAAAACATACTAAGTAAAAGGAACAAATTTCACAAATTCCACTTAAGTAAGAAAACCTGAATATGAACCCCACACATTCTATGGTCCATACCACCGTGACTCCAGTATTTACAAATGCACAGAAAGGACAAGGGAGGATGCACGGCCAACTACTGACACACACTCCATCTGCAGAGGTCTGCTCATGTTCTGTGTGCTTCTGGATCAATATTTACAACATGCGTAACTTAAGGTGGTTTTTTTTGAAATAAAATGTGTATTAAGAGCAAATCAGGCTGCATCGCCACCGACTCCTGTGAAGCCATTTGAATGCACGAAAACCTCCCCAGGGAGTAAGGTCCCCAGTACGCTCACCTGGAGGTCAACGACCCAAGACTGCAGTTGGCTTATTTCCCACATAAGCTTAGTGTCCTTTGTCCTCCTTTGGCTACTGTTTCCTCCCATATGTCCTCAGGACTCCACTGATCATGACACCCATGAGTTTGCTCCCCTCTACCACAAAGAACCATCTCTTTCAAGGTCCCCTTTTTATCAACTTGAAGGGACAATTTTTTTTCACCCACAAGACTAAAGAAGATGTTTTCCGGGGAGACCGTTCTCGTGCTGTTTCTGTAAAGGTCGGCTACTACAAAACGTCAGGAAAGGACACTTTTTTTTTTTTTTAACATTTTTAGGACAACAGCAGCTAAAACCTAGATGGCATTTATCATGTGCCGGACATTACTTCATGTGATTTACACCTTCATGTGATTTACAACCTTATGGGGGTAGATCCTACAATCATCTTATTTCACAGATGAGAAAACAGAGGGTTGGAGAAGTCATAAGCCCGAGGTTACAAAGTTAACAAGTGATAGAGCTTGGCTTCACTCAGACAGCCGGATCCAGGCCCTTAAGCTCTACACTGTATTGCCTCTCAAAAGACCCTGCAGGACAGGATGGAGGGCCTCTGGTGAGTCCACAAATCCCTTCTGTCCACAGCCCTACTAACGAGGCCAAAGTCAGCCCCTTGTGAACCTCAGAGCTGGACCCCAGAGCCAGTGTCTACACTGTTTGCTAGTGCTGGGCTCAAGTATGTCAGCATTAGAACAAATCAATCTCATATCTAAAAATAAAACTCAAAGCACACATTCCATCAGGAGCGGGTCAATAACATCATCCTCGTACAGAAAGTACGACTCATTACTCAACCCGGGTTCCCACCTCCCACCCGCTCAAGGATGGACAACATCCCTTCTCTCTGCTATAGAAAAAGAACACGGAATAAAAACTCCCCAGGGGAGGAGCACTTGGGTGGCTCAGTCGGTTAAGCGTCCGACTTTGGCCCAGGTCATGATCTTGTGGCACAGGAGTTCACGTCCCAGAGCCTGCCTGGGATTCTCTCTGCCCCTCCCCCACTTTCTCTCTCTCTCTCTCAAAATAAACTTAAAAATTAGGGGCGCCTGGGTGGCGCAGTCGGTTAAGTGTCCGACTTCAGCCAGGTCACGATCTCGCGGTCCATGGGTTCGAGCCCCGCGTCAGGCTCTGGGCTGATGGCTCAGAGCCTGGAGCCTGTTTCCGATTCTGTGTCTCCCTCTCTCTCTGCCCCTCCCCCGTTCATGCTCTGTCTCTCTCTGTCCCAAAAATAAATAAAAAAAACATTGAAAAAAAAATTAAAAAAAAAAAAAATTAAAAAAAAACCTCCACGAGGGCAGACTTCATGTATCGGACACCCCTCTTTCCACAGCACCTAGACCCTCGTCTGCCACATAGCAGTCGCTCAGTATGAAAATGACCATGAATCAGACATCGGGATTATGCTGATACGTCTACAACAGAATGCATGCTATAATCCACTTCTTAGTGGAACATCCGAGGGACACCCTTACTCCTCCCCAAAAGGTCCTGCCACGAGGCGCCTTCCCTACCTTTCGAAGTCGATATCCACATAGCCGTCCCTGTTCTGCATCCACCAAATAGAAGAAGATGGAAGGGGCGAGCTCATGGAGCTGTCGCAAGACATTCCGAGTGGCTGGGAACGCCGTGACCTTGAAAACCCCAGATAGCCCAAGGAAGGTATTAAAGGAAAAGGACTCTCCATACAGTTTCTCAAGACTCATTACTGTTCACCATCAAAAACAGCCTTAAGAATAAAATAGCAAATCTTAAAAGAGTTGAAGTCCACTGACCCGACGTGGGGCGTAAGTCTACTTTTGCTAAGAGCCCAAGTTTTCTCAGGTGCAGGAAGAGCCATCGGGTGGCTCAGAGATGCCCCTCAAGCCCACACACGTGCTGGCTGCTTTGACCAGCTCCGACCACACACCTCCCCCCACATCTGACCCTCCTGGATGCCCTCCGGCCACTCGGAAGTCTCCCACCTTGTACTCATCATCGATCAACAGCAGCACCTTGGCGTAGTCTTGATCCATGATGGGGAGAAGCAAAGACTGCAAGATGGGGCGCTTCAGCACCGGGGGGGCCACCTGACTCCACTTCCCGAAAATGGGATTGAAGACATACAGCGAGCTCATTCCCGTCTCCTGAAATGGTCAAGCAAACAGTCAGACTCCGCCAACCGGAAAAGAAGGCAAACGCTAAGGGTACATCTGGAGAGCTAGGACCTCGGCTCAGCTGTGACAGCCTCCCCAGTGCCCTCTGGGTAGATTCCCTCTTTGTGCAAAATCACGTCCTGCCTCAGTGGGAATGGTCCTTGAGGCTAGCGTGTCAGAAGGGAAACAGGTAAACTGCCTGTGGCTGCAAAGCTAACCAAGCACCGGACATGCTGAGGAACAAACAAAACGGTCGGCACCGACCGATTTGGCAGTATCTACCAAACCGCCTTTCCAAGGACATAGAGTGAATCCACAAAAATCCAGCTAATTCTGGGAGGCAGAGATAAACAGCTTGTGTCCTGCTCTCCCTCGTCTAAAAAGAAACCGGTGGCCTGTGTCTCTGGGAACTAGGAGAGCTGGCTCGTTCCAGGTCTGGTGACGTCACAGCTCCTCCAGAGCCAACCGCCCCCCCATCGGTCCAGGATGCTCCCACCACTCAGGCAAACAGCTGCCTAACCCCTGAACACCCATCCCTAGCTATCCCAGCATGCCAAAGGCCCCGGAGAAATTTGGCTTGCAAAACACCAAAAAGCTACACCTACTTTGGCTCAAATCCGAGGAGGACAGCCTCACCTTGTCCTTTACCAGAAGGGTGCACTGCGGGGGGTGGGGGAAATGGGCGGTAGTTCTCTGGACCATCAGTTTAAAGGAGGAGTCTGGCTTGACGTTGGGGAGATACTGTTTCCACAGGATGGTGCCAGAGCTGCTCTCAATGCCAAAAAGCTGCAAGATAAACAAATAACTGGCTCGCTACTAGAGAGACAAGCCGAAGAACCGATCCTATCCTTGGAGACTGGAACTGGTGCTATCCCCTACCAGAGGTTTTTTGCTTCCCACTCGCGGAGCCTCAGAAGGTTTGGGTACCCGGGGCTTCAAACGCCCTCACCTTGCCTGAGGCCGTCACCATCACCATCATCTTCTGGAGGTTAAATTCGTCTCTGGCTAGGGTGTCAATGTTGACCTCATTCTTAATCTGGCTTCGGGGCTTCCGAGCGTCGTAGAACATCTTCCAGAGGTGGGAGGTCCATGCCTGCAGCAGGATGAGCTGCGACGAGAGGCGTTTCAGGAACATTCCCAGCAAGCCGTCTGGTGTCAAGGAAAAGGTAACGCAACTGAGGCTCCCTCCTCATCGGACTAGGTGTTGCCAGCAAGGGGCTTCTCCTAGCGAGGGGTCTCTCCCGCTCCTGTGGGGCATTCAAGTCATCCACACGCCAGGCTGCAAGTCCAACGGGCAGTCCTTTGTCTGAAGCTGCCCATCTCACGCTCAGGTACAGCCAGGCAGGGACTTCCAAAACCTGCTTTCCTGGCTCACAGTACTCCACCTCCTGGAATCTTGGGAGAGGAGACTAACTAGGAGGTCAGGGGTCAGCCACGCAGGCTGTAGCCATGCTGGCATGTCTCCGCCACGGCCCGCATCCAGAATGGCCAGAGGGAAGCTTCTGGGTGCCGCGACAAAGCCACAAGAGGGGTGAGTATCGGGGTGCAGGACGTAGAGGCAGGTGCACTGTGGACAGGTACTCCCATTACCCACTGCTTCATTCCCACCCCATCAGCTATTTAACCTATTCCCGACAGACCAAGTGATGACTGACCCTCAGAGCTATCACTCACTCCACCCCACCCCGTGACTGAGGATGCCACCCTCGAGTCTCCTCCGGAGGGTCAACGTGGCCATCGGAGCCAGCCAGTGTGAATAAAGAGCACGGTCTCTGGTGTCGCCTGAATTAAAATCCCAGCTCTGCTACTTACTAGCTGGGTGACCCCTGTACATAACCTCTGACCTCTGGTTCCTCATCTGTAAAACCACCTGTCGTCTGCTGGGCTATTGGGAAGATCAGACCACAGGATATACACACAGGACTTCACACCATGCGGGGTCCACGGCGAGCGTTCACTGAAAAGTAGTGCCTTTGCATATCCTACTTTGCAGCAACCTCAGCTCAAGGAAGAGGAGAGCCAACGGGACAAGTCACAGCCCCAGCGGTCCATGCACACACGGTAGGCACCTCATCGATGCCGGCCAGGACAAACAAAGAACTAACCAAAAGCTAGCCACGCGAGCAGGCAATGAGCAACAGGGCAGCAGGAAGCAGATTTTACCTTGAATTGCTGGATCCGGGCAGCAGAAATGAATAGTAAAGTCAAATTAATCCTCAGCTCAAGAAAATCCACAATGCCTACCGGGGTGCCCGGCCCAGAGGAGGCCGAGGAAACACCAGCTGCGGAGCGAGGTCAAGGAGAGGGAGGGAGAGGCGGGAGGCAGGACTGACCAGAGGGGAGTGAACCAAGTCCAGCCTGCGGCTTGGGACTGGCCGGCGTCAGAGGTCACCGCCAGTCACCACGACAACCGCACCCGCCCAGTCCCACCTCTCCAGAAAGATGTGGCTGGGGTTTAGGGATGCCCGACACAGTGCCTGGAGAACCGAGGTACCGAGGTAACGGTAGCTATCATTCTACTGAGTCAAGATTCCTTTCCCTCAGGGTCTCGCCACAGAGGGATGCACAAGAGACTCCTTCAGAAAGAACGGTTGCCTAAATCCCATGGCCACAGATGCTCCGGAAACTGGTCACAGAGCTAGGTCCACACAGACTGGCAAAACGACTGTGCCCAGGAAGCCGGGGAGGCCACGAGCCAGCGTCTCTTGTGGTCTAACTACCAAACCCGTTCCCGGGGCGGCCCCTCCAGCAGCCCTGCTGTCCCGGCCTCCGTGCCTACCCGCCTTCTTGCCAAATTCGCCTTCCAGCTCAGCCTGCGCGCCAGTCAGGGGCAGATCCACCGTCTCCAGGCACACCACCTCCGCCAGCGACTCCTCCCGGCCCCACAGCACCACCTTCCCTGCTACAGAAACCCCGGTTACAAAAGCCAAGCCCGCCTCCCCCATCGCCTGAACGCACTCTTCTCCGTGGCTCAGGGATTCCAGCAGCTCCTGTGGGAGACAGAGAAGCAGCGGGGGAGGGGGGGATTCAGCAGCTCAAGTAAGGGGAGTTCCATACCCCCCCCCAGAATGCTAAGGGATTACTCAAAAGCAGGTGACATATGGCTCTAAAAAACATTCAGGCTACACTCCGCTGGAATCTTTGCCAGCAGCCGGTCCACAGACCCCAAAATAGAGCCTGACTAGAAATCTGGGCAGGCCTGAAGAAAAAAGAAGAGGGCCGAAGGAGGTCTGCTCACCCAGCTGCTGCAGAAACAGCACCAGGTGGTCCTCCGTCTGCACCAGGGCCCGGTAGCCCACGGAGTCATCCTTCTTCAAGAACACCTGGATGTAGAGCTGTGGGCAGAGTGAGAAGCACGCAGTCAGCGAGCATCCACACGCCTCTGAGCACCAGACCCCAAAGGCCGAGGCATAGGGAGTGGCTAGGGGCCCGGCTCATGGTGTTATTCGCTGTGTAAACAACACGGCTACTGCTCAGACCCCCCGCGAGATAACGTGAACTCGTCGGAGCTGGCGCAGGGGTGCTAGGCTGCAGCTCGGACCTCCCCAAGGAGGAACCTGCGTGCTTCCCGGGCGCCGCGTCATTCCTCATGCTCCGATCCCCCGCAGAGCGAGCAGAAGGCTCAGATCAGACGTTCCATTTTGGAAACGAAGAAGCCACGGCCCCAGACAGGCTAAAGAACACCCTGAACGCGCAGAGTGGCAATGCGGGGCGACAGCCGGAAGCGCAGGCTGTGGCACCGGGGACCCCTTACCAGCTCCGTGACTCTGGGTGGCATCCTGAATCTCACCAGGCCCAGTTTCACTGGTAAAATGAGGGTAGTATAGCCACTTCACAAGGCTGGTGACAGGCGGGGTCCAGTCGATTAGTGCGTTTATGAAAAGCTCAGCACAGCGCCTGGCACGCTCACCGCTTGGCATAAATGATACCCGCCTCTGCTGTGACTCACAGGGACTTGCGACAGGTCAGCTGCTCAGGAAGAACTAGAACCCGTGTCCGGAGAGCCCTAATCCAGCACCCCAGGCTGCGAGCTGGCCCTGAGGAAGCGAGGCTCACGGTGAGAGGCTCGCAGGACAGAGCCTCAAGACCAAGGCCCCGACTCACCCGCTCTGGCCGAGTGCCATTCTGTTCCAGGCTGAAGGTGATGGTGGTGTCCAGCAGCCGCCGACCCGTTTCCACTAAGTAGAGATTAACGGTGTAGGTCTGGTTGAAGCACGCCAGTGAGTCCTGCGGGTACGGACAGCACGGGGTAACTCGAGAGATCCCCCAAAGCAAAGCACCACAGAGGACGTCCAAGAATTGGGGTGAACCACCCTAGAGGGGGACCAGGCCAAAAGAGGAAATACACGCAAAGGAAAACAAAAGGAAAAAAGAAAGCTTAATCCTGAGACGGAAGTGAGGTACCTGAGTAAACAAACAGAACTACGACTGCCGTACTTGTTTCAGAAGGAAGTCGGTGCGGCGCAGCAGACCTCCCAGAGGTAGGACCACAGAGCTCTCCAGAAGAGCTTGGGGGACGGGGGACGCAGCAACAAGCGTGCCAACCAGGGTCCCACACTCTGCCCCGATGCAGATGCACAGACTACCACTTGGCAATACCAGCCAGGACCCCAGAAGAGACGGGGAAATTGAGCGCCAGAGGAAAAGGTGCTTAAGAACAGATTCTAGGGTCTCTCTTTCCAAATTCCCAACTAAAGAGGATCCAGAGAAACCGGATTTCATTTACAGAACGTGGCAAACCCCACGTGAGGCTGAGGGCTCCGGGAGACCCGCTCCAAGCCTCAGCTGCTCCCAGCTTCCCTGGAGGGCCGCCCCTGTCTCTAGGTCTGGCACGATGCCAGATGACCAATGCTGGTACTCAATGCCACACTGTACCTGAGGACTAGACTTCTCCGAAAAACTCCCCAGTGACCCATCTTCAGAACTGCTAGGTTTCTGCGGGGGAAAAGAGAAGGACAGAAGGAGAAAATTTAGCCAAAGGGTCATTCCCCAGTCACCAAAATGAAGCTCTCACTTCTGTGTCGTCTCAGCCCCTGGAGAAGACAAACCTCACTCCTGACTCCTGCCCAGAGAGCCCGTGCAGCCCTTAGCAGCCCCAGGGGAAAAGTGAGGTTGTAATATTAGGGTTCATTCCCAGGGACAAGGGGGTATGCAGAAAGTTCTGTAGAACCAGCGAGAACTTATTTCTCAACGGCTTCCTGCCCCCTGCATTCCAACCGCCCCGACTTTTGGCTCTCAGGGTTCCTGGTAGATACGAGGAGATGCTACTCTCAATACTCACCACTTCACTCCGACAGGTCACGACTGCAGCCACCGTCTTCTCCCCAGTGGTGGCAAAGCTCACTAGGGCAGCCTGGGAATAAAGCAAAGTGCCACTTCCTAAATGGGGCCCGTACCAGCCAGTGGCCTTACAGAGGAGCACCTCTACAGGGAGGTCCCCTAGGCCTTGAGGCTAAAAGTGCTCCTGACTTTGGAGCACAGCAGCCAGGGCACATGAGAACAGACGAAGGCTCCAGGTGCATCCATAGCTGCACATAAGCCTTTCCCTGTACCTCCAACACAGGCACAGGCCAGTCATAAGTCTCATGCTGTTATTAGTACCTACACGGAAGCTCAAATTAACATCCCCACCCTGCTGCAGACTCAGAGGAAGGCCCTAGTTTTACTCTAAACATTCTTTGTGACTCTCAGAAAAAGAGTGTTCCATTTCTGCTCTAAGGCTAACCCCTCTCAAAGCACACACAGAGATGTCTGGACCCGGAGGGAACATCTACAGATTCAGAGGCAGGGTTTTCTAGCTTCATGACTTGGCTAGATTCGCCTGAATCCTATGCCGCCTGCGGTTACCTGTGGGAAGTTCTTGAGCAGACTCAGGACCCCGTGACGATAGTGCAGCAGAGCATAGTGACTCGGGGACAACTGCAGGAAGAACTGGGCCCGAGAAGGATCCACCGGGTTGGGCTGCGTGGGCAGGACCCGGGGCTGGAACCCACTTGCAAATTCGAAGTCAAGAGACTGAAGGGCAAGAAGAAAGAGAATTAGGGCTAAACGCAGGCAAGTCACTGATCCACTGATCCATCCCAGGCCTGCTTCCCCTGCCCCACTTTGCCAGTGAAAGTAACTAGGCCATGGCATGTGGCTCCGGAAGCTCCCATTCAGGTTCCCCAAAGAGAAGAGTGGCCCATTTCCCCTCACGCCAGGTCAGCCAGAAGCCTGACCTTTTCCCAGCAACTGCCAAGGCTCAGGAAGGAAGCAGCATCACCAGGAGAAAGACTTTCCTAAGCGGCAAAGCCAAGGCCTTGGGCCAGAGGGCCGCAGCACTACCTCTCACCTGCAGTGGGATCTGTCTCAACTCCCACTCTGTCTCCAGGGCCAAGGTCTGGAGGGACCGTGAGCTCGGATCAGGACACACCAGCACAGCCTCATCCACCACACCACAGGCTCCGGTGAGACTCTGAAGCCAGGGGGTTGAAACCCTGACCTACAGGAAAGATAGCCTAGTGAGAGAGGTTCGTGAGAATTTTTACATTTCCCTCTCGGCTCATCAGCAATGTCACCACCAATCTCACGGGGGGCTAAGCTCAAAGGTTCTTCATGGCTGGCTCTAAAGGACTTCTTCCCATCCCTCCCAACCTCTCAAGAGCTCCAAAGTTGGAGAAAATCAGGATTTTGTTTCTGGTCACTGGAAAAACATACTCAGTCGTCTTTAAGACCTGATACTTCAGGTAAGCATTTCTCCACTATATTTATCAAATGTGGTTTCCTCGCTATCTCACGGTATCATCTTCTAAGAAACTCACAGGCAATGAAAGCAACCTCTGTAATTTTCAGCCACCCCAGTAGAGCACCGTGTACAAATGTGAGGGCTTTAAACAAACACTGGATGAGAAGAAAAGAGTCCCAAGTGACCAGAATCAGGGACCACAAATGGCTTCTGCATCTTCCCGGCCAAGTTCTCTGGTCCTGGATGCAAAGAAGGGCTCCATCTATTCCCCTCCACAATCCACAAGGCTCTTCAAGCTGATGCCTTGACCATACCTGCTGAACAATCTCTCCATCTTCCACGTTAAACTTGACAATGTTCACGTGGCTGAAGGGAACAACTCCGAGGGCCCACACCACCCCAGAACCGTAGGAATACATCATCTGGTAATGGATGCTGTCACTAAGAGACAGAAGAAAAAAGGCAAGGAGCAACAGCTTCAGCTGTGGGACAGGCCCATCTCAGGGGTCCTCTAAAATCAGTCAGGTCCTGGGGCACCTGGGTGGCTCAGTTGGTTAAGTGCCCGACTTGGACTTGCCCGACCTGGTTTGTGAGTTCGAGCCCCGCAATGGGCTCCGTGCTGACAGCTCAGGGCCCGGAGCCTGCTTCGGATTCTGTGTCTCCCTCTCTTTCTGCCCCTTCCCCACTCACACTCTGTATCTCTCTCTCTCAAAAATAAACATTCTTAAAAAATAAAATAAAATAAAATAAAATAAAATAAAATAA